TAAAAAGAACTAGATTGTGTAAACACATGAACAGGTGCAAATTAAAAGACTGGTTGCCTTTTTAAAGCAAACATGATATCAAGGTAAATGATTGCTGTGGACATTTGGCCCCCTATGGCTTAACCAGGACACAAATAACTATTCCAATTATCGACACTTTCAGATTATAAATGAAAGTATAGATATCTGAAAACATTTTTCAGATTGTTTAAGATAGACAATTTTTCTGATTACAAAACTAAATTTTACTTCTTTGAGTCTATTTTATGGACTCCAAGTAAATTCTTACATAGAATTCATTTATACAAAAATGCTCCAAAGCCTGTTTCCCCATATATTTGCATCCCTTCAGTGTCTTCAACTTCCTAAAATTTGACATGGGGAAATCTAAATTTTAATTAACAATGCACAGCAATTGTATAAGTGACAATTTTTGGCATTTGTTTTTAAATAAAACATATTTGTTTAAAACCAGGTTAGAGTTTTAAGTTGTTTATTTTTGACTCTTTGAATTTAAATTGATATTTACTTGTAGTTAAAGTAGTTTTTGTGTTTCCCTATTTTATTGATGTTTTCCCCAAATATTGCAAATAATAGGATTTTGACAGAGTACTAATTAATGAGCAACTTCAAAAATTACGTATTTTCATTAATATGGAGTGGGTACAATTCAGTTCAGAGTTGATCTTTAGGAAAAGGCTACTTTGTTTTCTCTTCCTAAAAAACTTCTGTAGGTTGCTCATAAAAGTTTTGAAGTTACCTTTAAAGTCAGGATGCATCACACTAAGTTAACACTAAAGATTAAAAATCTAATTTTTAAAAGATTAGTTTACTGTGTCAATTTTTAAAATTCTACTGATGGTCTTAAAACAGTACACACCATAAACTATGTTTTAATTTAGAGCCACCATGGACTCTTAAATATGAAATTGTAAGTAATTTAATTACCTGCTTTTGTTTAATATAATCCCCTGATTGTTTTTATTTCAATATAATTGTTCTCATGCCATTTTTTTTTACTCATTAAGACTATTTTAGCATAAGACTTGGACATCTATTTCTCATGTGTTCAAATTTACTATATAAAAACAAAGAAGGATCTCCACAAAATTTAACTAAATTACAACCAATTTTTTCTCTGAATTTCAATTTACTTATAGATGTTATCAATTAGCAATATTGGCTATCCAACAATCCATCAATATAAGAATCAATTAAACCTGATGTCTGTTAGCTAGTGCCCTGACAAGTATCACATTACTTAAGGCCGAAACAAGGAAAACAATTTCAAGAGTAAAATATAAAAATATTATTTACTAGGGAGCAATAATATGTTTGTTTCATTTACACGACTTTCTCTTTCAATTGACTAAATAATGTGCTGTATATGTAACACTGAGTTATTTGATAGAAATTTATTTTGTGGAAAATATGCAAAAAAGCATATCACAAATGCAATAGATTGAGGGAAAAATTAATAGTATTAGTAGGTCAGTGGCTTCACATGAAGTGGTGGGGGTGGAAGGAAGTGTCAAGTTCAGCACTTAATCTAGCTGGTATAAACAAGACTACATGAATATACAAATTTCCACTAAAATGATGAACAGTCGAGTTTTTTACCCACTTTTTCTTTTGTTTAATCAGAGACACACAGGGAAGGGAGACTTTCTCCCTCTGAAAACTTGGGGATCTTAATTATTTCCGAAGCACATCAGTTATGATTTATGAGGGGTCTACAATGACCCTTTCATCTTGATGTAAGAGCAAAGTGAACCTATATTAGGCAAAGGCCTTCTACGTGGGTTTCTGTATCCAAACGATCTTTCTTTAAGCTGTTCCCTGTAAATTGGGAGGCTATCTGTTTCAAATTCCCTGTAATGAAACACAGAGTATCATATGGGTGAGGTGTCAATATCAGAGTACCCAGCAAGCTGAATTGAAGTCATTTTTCCTGTGAAGCTTGCTTTTTATGCTATTGTTTTCATTTAGAGTTTTCAAATTAAGCACAAGTACTTGCAGTCCACAGACAATATGCATATTTCCAAGGCTGCCTTATATATGCCCACAAAGGGATTAAACTACTTTTGAGGGTTAATATTACCATGACACAGGGAAAACTAATTACTTCTAATGCTAGTGTTTCTCCTCCAGATTAAAATGTCCATGGACTTTTAGTCCATCAGCTGACTAAAATGGAGAATGGAGTGATCCGGGGATTGTTTTGAAATGGCTTTCAGATTAATGTGTGCTCTGGCCCAACCCACCTTTCTTCTATCACAGAATTTAAAGATTATGGATAACTGGCTATGCCCACTCTCAACTCTTCTCATTTTGATCTGCCATTTATTGATGGCTAATATATAGACTTTCATAAAATACACCCAAGACTATATTACAGAAAAGGTAACTAGACAAGTTCATTTGAGCTTTATTCTAAGTGGGGCTTCTTGCTTCGAAATTGCTGGTAGAGCCTAGTGGTGGTGGCGCATGCCTTTAGTCCCAGCACTCAGGAGGTAGAGACAGGCAGATGGATCTCTGTGATATTGAAGTGAGCCTAGACTACAGGCTCCAAAGGCACACAGAGAAACTCTGTCTAAAAAAACAAACAAAAGAGAGATAGAGAGAGAAAGAAAAAGACAAAGAAGGAGGAGAAAGAGGAGGAGGAGGAGGAGGAGGAGGAGGAGGAGGAGAAGAAGAGAAGAAGAAGAAGAAGAAGAAGAAGAAGAAGAAGAAGAAGAAATAGAAACTGCTGGTAACAGAAGTGCAAGATTTAGAAGCCGCATAAGCTGAGAAAACAAAGAAAAAATGGTGTAAAAACTGTCTGGCATATGATGTATGAAGGTACAGAGGATGCAAGGGGGTAGGGGCGGGGTGTCAGATGGCTACAAAAGGGAAAGTCAGAGGGATGGAAAGAATTAACACAAAGAATTTTGTTGAGATTGCCATAAAACACTAATACTGTGTGTGTCCACTTTAAAGGTCTTATCCTCTTCTTCAACAATGAATAAGCTCTGTGCTGTTACAATTGCATCTCTTAACCGAGTAAATTTAAATTTCCAAATTTCTCCATCAAAATGGAGCTTACAAAGAGAGGGGAAAAGATGACTCTCGGATGTGATATTTAAACCGTGGAATAAATGTGTCTTTAGACATAAGCCTAGCAACTAGAGCTGGTTTGTAAGTAGGCACACAGTCATTTTTGTCAACCCACTTAGGTGTGAGTTCTTCATTTTGCTTCAGTCTACCCCATTTCCGAGATTGACCTTGCAAAACCTTTAACATGTTGTGTTTGGATATTCAAATCAGACTGATTCCTTTTGTGTGGCTCTCTTAGGTCAAGAAGGATAAGGAAAAGGAAAATGTATATTCTGAAAAGGGAGGAAAGGAAAGGCAAGAAAAATGAAAAGAATACTTGATAATATAGTACATACATCAAAACAATCTCATCTAAATCTCAATCAGTTGTTTATTGGTTGGCAAACAAGTTTCACTTTTACAACAAATATTAGTAATGAGGTCATCCAACTTGAGACCATACAAAATGGATCATAAATTTAAAAAAAAATTGTATGTGCTGCTAATATACCATTTGTATTCCTACATTACTTAAAATCCTGTCAAATAAATAAATGTTCCTGTTAACAGAAGACTTTTAAAAAATCATTTCAAAATAATTTGACCTTTCAACGCTCACTACGAGGGAGTGAATGTCCTCTAACAGTTGGTAGCACAGGCGCCCTCACGGGGTCCGACTGCGCATTCAGCACTGGAACGCCTATGGAATACAGCTTTTCACATGCAGAAGCCCCTCTAGCTCTATAGACACCTCTTAGCTTCTAGAATCATAGCTACTGCCTTGGTGATGAACTGCTTGCCAAATACGCTTTGCATTACAACAGATGTGCCCTGGAAACATAAAATTTGTCCTGTTCTAATTTGCAAAATGGTGTTGGGAATATCGGGCTAGATAAAGATATATAGCGAGGGAAGGAGGTCTAATTTTATTTATTTTATTTTATTTTTTGTAAAAAATAATTTGTTTGCATTACTAGAAAATGATTCTTATAAAGTGATAGCTTCATTTCTTTATTATTATTATTTTTGCCAGGTGAATTTTTAAAGAAAAAAAAGGTGAGGGGAGAGGGGACAAAGAAAAAGAAAGAAACAAAACAAGAAAGGAAGGAAACTTTGCTCTTTTACTGGTAGACAAACTTGCAAGACTAGCACAAAAGAAAGTTTCTTCTTTGCCACTACATTAACAGGACTCAAATTCTGGAGGAACAGAAAGCAGACTATATGCGCGATGCTAGTATCTGTACATTACATAGAAATTGTTCAATTTTTTTCTGCCATTAGTTTCATCATCAGTTAATACAGCAAATCATAAAATATGCATTTAGCATATAATTCTAGATTCCCCTCCGTCAGATTATTAATTTTGTTGTTTTGTTTTTGTTTTGCACAGCTATTCCCGCTGTGGTGAACTCAAGTTGTGAGTGACCATGAACAGCTAGGTGACACAGTTCTGCTCTGCTTCTACGGCTGGGCGGCAGCACTCCAATCTAGATGCAGCAATGTTACTACTTTCAAACAATTGTTCTGGCCTTTTTTTAAAAAACAAAACAAAACAAAACAAAACGAAACAACAGGTCCTTGTGATTCTAGTTAACAGAGCATCAGAGATGTTAAAAACAAACACAACATAATTCAACAAGGCCACAAATGAGCGCCATTTTCTTCATATCTCGTTCATTAACATAATGAAGTCTCCATCTGAGGGGATAGGACGGGAAAGAATGGGGCACAGGAGCATCTCAGCAGTTAGCTTTCTCCCCTGGGCCGACCTAAAAATTCAAGTTAAAAAAAAAAAAAATGTCAGAGAGTCTCTTTTGAGAATAGCATCAGATGTCGGAGTACACAGGATGACCACTGCTCATATCGACTCAGAATGGTCCACTGGGTGTTTGCAGTCCTGCTGGTTGCCATCTCTGTGTCATCTTCTATAGACTAGTGACCAAGTGCGCGGGTCCTTTGGAAGTCCCCTCCGGAGAGGCCCCGTCTTTGTTGGGAGGAACTATGAATCCTTCGCTGCTGCCCCGCCCCAACTGGTAGTAGGCGTGCAGCGGGTGCACGTGGTTTCTGGAGCCCAGGTTTGGCATGCTTTTGTAGTAAACATCTTCGGCGTCACCACCCTTGGCCGCTGCGGCTTCGGTCTGGGTGCTGGCGGTCACGCTATCTGCAGTGGGCACGCCGGCCAGGGCCGGCATGCTGGTGTACAGAGAGTCTCTGTGAGGCGACTGCAGGTCTTCTGTGTGCTCGTCAGTTAGCAGAGGGAAGAAGCTCTCGCTGTGGTCCTGGGGGAGCCGCCTCCTGCTGTAATGGTGTGGCTGGTGGTTCTCCGTGGAGTAAACCCTTGGGGGCAGCAAGGGAGCATCCGATTCCTCATGAATGAGTTCCAGGCCCAGACTCTCCTCATGGTTAAAGGACGTTGCATCGTCCAGGACTATGGCGTCATCTTCACTCCCACTGCCTAAGTTGTTGACCAGTTTGTTCATCATATTCCTGTTCTGTTCACTGGAGCGCTCGTGGTTGTTCAGGTACGAAGGGATATAGTTGGAAGTGAGTTCCTTTAGGATCTTTTTCTCTAGGGCGGTCTCGTTATGGTTATAGCCACGGTCTATAATTTGCACACAGTTGCTCAGGTATTCACCGCCAGCAATGCTGTAACTGTTGCCATGGTTACCATTCAGTGGTAGAGTATCCATGACACTTGTATCCCTGGCATTGTTCAGAAGCCCCTCTGAAAAAGATTACAAGACACTATGACATTTATATCCAATGAGCCATCGAACACACACACGTACACACACAAACACAAAATCAGAAACATTCATGGAATCTAAAATATGTATAAATTGATAGCATCTTAAATATAAAATGGAAAGAAACAAAAATCACTATTAAATCTATATATGTCAGCATGTGTATATATATATATATATATATATAATTCAAAAATCTAACAGAAATATTTTAAGTAGAAAAGAACTGTTCAAAATAAATTTTAAAGTTAGCTGTTATTAATTTCCAATTTCACACAAACAGAAACAGATACATGAAGTGTATTTAGCTGTAACTGGTAAATTAAAATAAGATTTTATATAGTCATTGATTGCTTTGAATGTATACACATCAAAGTCAGTTAAAACGTCATCTCGGACTTTACATATCTCTGAAATAGCTATAACATAATTCATGTGTGACACTTTGAATATGTCATTCAAAAGCAAGATAAGCAGCTTTTGGTAATTTGGTATATAATTTAGGAAGATTAAAATAATTGTTGCATACAAAACCACAAAAGGATTATATTAAATTTGCAAGTCATGAAATAATGCCCAGTCAAAAAATTGGCATAATGGAGATAATTTATATGTACTTTCAAAAGTGTTTGGAATTTTTTGTACTTCTTAACTGTAATCACTTTAGTAATTATTACATATTAACCCATAAGCTATTGTTTAGGGTCACTGAAAAATATTACAGAAGAATGCGTAAAAACATAGGTTTTTATTACTAAAATCGAAATATTATTAAAATTACCATCATGATGACTGGTGACTTGGGATGTATTAAAATTTAGTTTTAAAGAAGATAAACCTTTTTTTTTAAAGAAACAGCTGCAGGGAAATAAATTGAACCACAAACTTCTTCAAGGTTTTTGCATTCCCTTGAATAAGCAGAAGTTCAAGATTCTATAATAGTTTCATAAATCACTTTAAGCACATCGACAAAGAAAAAAAAAACCTACACATTTAACCAGTGCTGATAAATAAGGAAGGGTATGTCCAAAAAATTTACTTGAAGAATTCTCTTAAACCTCTCAATACACTTCTAACTTGTGAAAATATAGCACTCATTCTATATCTGTGATGCAATTATATTTATGAAAACCCAGCTCAATGATAGTTGAAATGACATGTCACATATATGCCAATTCTATATGGACTTTCCCATACTTTACATTCAAGTAAAACAGATTTCAAAAATAGCAATTCATAAAAATCCATTAATAAGCAGCCACCACAGACATAGGTTGAAGCGATTTATTTTCATGTCATAAAATATCTGGTACACAAATTCACAATGTTAGGAAAAGAAGTAAATGTTTGCTTAAGGTGTTGCATGTGACAGGTGACTGCTATTGTAGAGGCTGTTATGGTATGCTTAATGGTTGTGATTATGTTGCTGATGCATTGAAACACTTTTTTTTTAAATTGTTGTCAATGCATTTGGTATTGGACATAAAACAGCCATAGAAAATAAGGTGGGCATGTTGCAATGGGACACATTTTTAATGATGGAATGCATTAATTAAAATTAAAAGTTTATGGGTTACTTCGCAAAAAAATGCTTAATTTAAAAACAATTTAACTCACACAAACACTACATGAGACTTAACAATTATGTTGATTATGTGACAGAATAAAAGAATCAGACAACAAAAGCGTCTAATCTCTATTAGCAGATAATTATAGAAGTCGATTTATAGGCTCTTTAGTTTTGAAATTGTGAGATGAACTGTTTTTAATAACTACATCATCTATATGTGATGCAATAAAAGTGAACTGAAAAAAATTACATTTGATATGCAATGTTTAGCTTTACTCCCATACTTGTCTCTCTGTAGGGCTCTAAACGACAGCATGAAGAAAAGGAAAGAAAAAACAACGAGTAAGCTTACAGCGACAATAGGAGAAACGTGAGTCAAAAGCAAATTGATGATATGCAGAAAAAAGAGTCACAGAAAATCATCCCCTCTGCCCCCAAATTCATGAGTTTGTGTTACATGGTTTATCATCATTCAAATACTGAGATGTTAGCCAGCAAATAAGAGTACTCCTGCTTAATACACACCAATGCAGTGATGCTTTATAATAGGTGCTTCTATAGTTCGCAAATTTCATATACATTTGTATTACACTTAAAATTGTCACACAAACAGGAGAATGAAAGGAGGATGAGCTATGACTTTCTCTTTCTCTTTCTTTCCCTCCTTTCTTTCGTTCTTTCTTCCTCCAGTTTGTGTTGTTTTTTGTTTTTTCAAGACAGTATTTCTCTGTGTAGCCCTTGCTGTCCTGGAACTCACTCTGTAGACCAGGATGACCTCAAACTCAGTGATCCTTCAGCCTCTGCTTCCTCCTGAGCACTGGGATTAAAAGTGTGCACCACCACTGCTTGATTAAGCTATGATTATTTTTATCACTTTATTTCAGTATGATATCCATGAGGTATTGGAAAGTGCCTGCTGTAGGAACATCATATAATTAAAAAATTATTTGTGAAATTAAAAATAAAACACAGAAAGAAAACCCGAGTTGAAGTTTTCATAACTGTGTTCTTCCGTCACTGTGTTTCTTCTCTTTGTCTGTACAAAGGGTTACTCTCTCCACTGTGCCTGGACAAATGCCGTGTTGTTTAAAATTAGAGGATCAAGGCTGCCATTTTTAGAGCTCAAATTAAGCAGATGTTTAACTACAAGGGAAATATCAACTCTGCTTAATATTTTGCCTCATGATATGTGGAAGAAAAACTTGTATAATAGGAATTTTCTTTTGGATTGTAAGTAGCATCATCATACTTAACAAAATATTTTATGAATGGATGATTTAAAAGACAATCCCAAGGAATTTTATTCTAAAGAAAACCTATCTGTAATCAGAGCACAAGAATAATTACTATTGCTGTTTTGTTTACAGGAAAGTTAAGATATCCAACAATAAAATCAAGGCAACTACTGGGCCGTGTCACTTCAGAAGACTCTGGCTTGTAATTCAACCAGTCTAATTTTTTGACACTAATATCTTTGTTAGTATATGCTCACTGCACAGTTATGAGTTGATATTTTCATGTATTCACAGTTTGGTCACATTTACTGGCTAAAGGAAGTTTTTTTTTTTTAATATATATTTTACCTATTGATTTTCTTCTTACAAAAGAGATGTGTCACATTTTAAGAGGGAGGGAAACTCCCATCTAAAACATTGAATTAGCTTTAGAAGGAGAATTCAAAAATAAACAGCTCAACTGTTTATTAGCACATCCAAATGCTTCTAGGCTCACTGTGGCTCATTAAGTAAGGCAACTAAAATCCAAAGGGCCTGGATCTGATGCCATACTGCTAATTCAAAGGAGCTAGAATTAGAAAGGTGGTCCTAGACTTCTCCTGGCTCTGCAGCAATCCCCTGTTCTCCTCTACCACAGGCTTTGGATGCCATAAGGGAATATTAATTTATATTCTATACAACGTCTCCTTCCAACCAAATATAATGTACTCTTCACTGCATCCTGTTCTACCAGTTTGTGTCTTTCTTTAAAATGTTGGATTTGAATTCAATTGCCTTGAAAAGTACATTTATTTTAGTAAAATCATAACTTTCTCTTCATACAATGTTGTTTTGACAGGTGTTCCAATGAGACTTATCTTCATAAAAATTTATTTCTCATGTTAACAAAAAGATAATGGTTCAAAAATACTATACATGAGATTTTAAATAGTTCCAAACATAGTCTGTAAATTCAGTATAACAAATGTATATACTTCATTTTTATTTCTCATTCTATATACTTCAGTAACACTGTAAGTACACTTTTACAAATTTTAAGTAAAGGTGTTGCAAGCAAAAATGAATACTTTCAATCTGAATGTCCCAATGCCCAAAAAGCATTGGCACAACTGAGTCATAGGAGCCACAGAACAAAATCAAGTGGCAATCCAATATGAACCACTTCCAGTACATACCGGACCACCTATATTTCATGTATGATTTTTACCTTGCCAGTAAGAATATAAGTGCATTCATCTGAAAGCATAAGATTATTAGCAGTGTGACAATCACCAAGATTTACTTTTGGCAAGTTTTTCAAAACTTACTCTAAGCACATTGTTTCATGTCTTAAGAAGAACTGTAACATAAATAGCTACATAATTTCAACTTTGACTCTGAAAACAAAATTACCTAAGTTTTTTTTTAAGAATACCTAGTAGAATTTATTAAATTTACTGAAATAAAAGACAAATTCTTCTGGATGAAGTCTTCATATATTTATTAATAATTTTATATAACAATGTCTAGTTATGAATTACATAAGAACACTGTGTGGATATGGTTTAAATTTCACATTGTAAGTATTTTGCTTCTATATATTTCTATGCATTTTGTCTACGTTACCCCAGGACAGTTTTAAGCTTTAGAGTTGAGATTACTCTAAGATTACCAAAAAAGCTCTCTTACTTAATCATTTTTACATGTGTTTCATTTTTAAAAACTCCTTGATTTTTGGATGAAGATGAAAAGGTATATATTAGATTAGGAAAAACACTTCGATTAATAATTCTTCATTTTTCCTTCTACAAGTAATTATAAATTATATATAAAAATCAAAACAGCAAAACAAATCTAATATTGACTTAATATTTAAAACAGTTACCAACATCTTGTGTAAGCGGAATGCTGTTGAGTACAATTAATTAGAAAATATGGTGCAAATAGTAACATAACATCATTTAAAATGTGCTGATATCACAGCATGTTTTAAATTGTTTATAATGACATATTTACTTGTCATTTCTCCTACGGAGAATAAAGAAGAGCAAAGTGAATTTTTTTTTTCTACCACACTGTTCTGCCAAACTACATATGGCTTACTATGCTGGGTACAATTCACAGAACACCATGATAGCATAGGGACCCTGACAAACAATAGATATTACAGGGAGTGTGACTATGAGAAGGGCCC